ACCAGCTTTGTGGAAGCTCGTTGGACACACTCAAATGGCTTCTTCACAGAAGTGTCCGACAAGGATGTTCACTCTCCCCTATATTGTTCCACTCAGTCACTAACGAAATAATGAGGCGTCCAAATTGTTACTTGTATGAACCTTGTCATTCTGAAGTACACCAAAGACGTCGTCTTAATCTTTGTAGACGAAGGTGCAGTACAAGCTCTGTTGAGTAAACCAACTAACATCATACCATTTCCATCTGCAACTTCAAAGTGCAAGGTGCAGTCTCCGGAAGGGGTGCTTATTGGAGGTTTTGGAGAAGTTTACACATCTCGGCAGTCATATTACCCCTGGCCGTGTCTGATGAACTCAGTTTATGAGTCTCAAAAGGTCAGAACCTTGTTTGCTGATTTTCGTAACTTGTGGCATCAAAAAGGCATATCACTGGGCCCCAAGGTTGAGTGCACCAGGCTACCTTATAGACTATGCTGTTGTATGTTTGCGAAGCGTGTTCTCTGTCTACCGGTGATGTGCGGTGTTTTCAGACATTTGACCTGCGATGCCCCAGAAGCGTTGCTGGTGTCGGATGGCGTAAATGAATTTATACCGGGTAATGCTGTTTGTTCATCAGGTACTTCGATCGCGGAAAACATTCAGCTTCATCAACTGCGGTGCCTTGGTCATGTGCTCCACATGCTGAAACACCAGTGTTGTTCTCCATGCATCCTTAAGAATGATGCGAACCGCGGGGTGAACAGCGTATTGCTTGGCATAACGTTGTGGAAGAGGTCACGAAGAGTTTGTGTGTTATGTGCTGTGATACTCCATCCTAGATGGGGTTCACGTGAACCCTCGCTTGCGGTTGACTGGTGGCATTGCAGGGAACGGTAGGATTTCAGTGTCAGTGCCATTCGCGTTGTCGTTTTTTTTCCAGATTGTCTGACAAGGTTTGAAGTTTTTGCACCTTAGATTGCTTGTAATACGTCAGTACCAGGTCCCGTCTCTCATGCACCATTTTCTCTTCATCCTGGAGCTTTAAATATAATTATATAAACTTTTTGATGTTGCTGTCTCTAATGGTAATGATGATGAAGCCCCACGTTGCATTTGTCTTGGTTAGTGATAATCTGATTTAGCCTAATCAGTCCCCTTATTATAGCTGGATGACAAGTTGGTTGACGCTTTGTCTCATGTCTAACCTACACCTGAGGGAGAACACATAAGTTCACGACATTCAGTGGGCATTCCGATCGCCTCCCTCAGTTGTGTGCTGATCACGAACTGTTTCTGGCAAGTACGAACTTTCAACATAAACGTTCGCACCGCG